TCAGACACAAAAGATTTTTCTGGCTATATAAGCTGACGTTGTATATTGAACTATGTTATAATTCTAGAAGCTGTGTAAATGATTGATGCAAAAATAGCTCATGTAAACTGAGCCATGTAAATGCTTTTTTTATTTCATTTACCTTTGTTTCTTCAAAAATTAACTTCCATCAAGTGAGATATCTAAAATATGCTCCCATTCCTCAATCTATAAAGTTAGAAAACTAACACAGAAAATCTACACTTAGTGATGGTCTTGAAAATCTTCACATTTGGTCTTGGAAAGTATTTCCGTATTTTCTATGTGCTTGTTTTTTCATCTTTTCTGAGGAAGATTTGCCCTGAGCTAACATCCATTGCCAATCTTTCTCTTTTTCTTTTTATGTGAGCCCCTGACACAGCACAGCTGCTGATAGACAAATGGTGTAGGTCTGTGCCTGAGAACCGGACCTGAAGTGGAACGTGCCAAACTTAACCACTGGGCCACCAGGGCTGGCCCTCTGTGTGCTTTTGATAAGTCAAATATGAAAATTCACAAATAAAATATGTGAAGTCTACATTCTGAGTACCTGTTCCAGCATGAATTTTTGCTGAATCTTTTCCTCTTTTTGAAAGTAAAGTATTTCACTGCTGGCCACCCGTATTACTCACTTACAACTCAATAATGTTGTCCTTTTAAAATTTCTGTTTAAGCACCTTTTGCCAAAAAGATGAAACATCGAGAGCCCTCCTTGCATGTCTCAAGAGGTTAATAAAAACAACACGTTGAATTACAATGCTAGCTTAAATTAATATGGGTCCAAAAGCACAATTTGCATTAAATAGTCTTTAATTCAGATATCCAAGGTCAGTATAAACCTTATCTTGAGAAAAAACATAATTCTTTGTTTAGAACTTCACCCTTCAAGTTCCTCTTGGGGCTTTGGCTTCATGTTGCTCCACGAGCATATTTCTATAGCTTCTACAGCTGTCATTCTTCAAAATATACAAAAAGAACAAGAGCTTCACTAGTGCTCTTACTACTCACAGAGGCAACAGCATTAGTAGCTATCTTCTTGTCAGAGGCTATTTACCAAGCACTTCATTTCTATTAGCTCTTTTCTTCAGCATCATAATCTTTTGAAGTAGGTTAAATACAAAGTTTATTTTACAAAGGAGGACACTGAGGTTTGGTTATATTTGTTACTTGCTTTAGTCTTAACCGTTGTATTATATGGACTCAATAATTGTAAAAGTTACACATAGATATTAGATAGGTAAAAAATATTTAATACTCCTTACTCTCTGACGTTTGTAAGTATGAGATTCTACAACCTTATTTGTCCACACACAAAATTCGGTGGAGATAGTAAGATGAAATGTCACAGCATTTATCTTAGAACTTTTAAGAATAATATGAACAATTGCTAACATAATTATGCATCAAAATAAATATGAAAGGCAGCTATAATCCTATTTTTATAAAACCATTTACACAATTTCAGGCTCTGATCTTAAATTAGTATGTTATTGTCTCAAGGGCACTGAAAAGCGCTCATGAAAATTCACATATAGGATTGGATTCTCTAACGCTCACAAACGTTTTCCAGAGCATAGCCTAGCCCTCCCTGAACTCGCATAATTATAAATGCATTGCCTTAATGCGGAAGCTTCTTACATACTTTGAAGAAAGCATCAAACGCTTTGCAGTTCTAAGGTCAGGATATTGATCAGCATTAAATTTGACCTTATAAAGAGAAGATTATACCAGATCAATTTTATTATCTTCTATGATAAAGGGACAGTCCTCAAAGAAAAAAATGACAGATTTTCATTAACTGCGCCTGAGTTAGACTTTTCATCCTATGATCCAATTAGCAATTAAGAACAGAGGTTCGTGGATCGTCCTCCAAGGAATCCCTCTGGCAGCTCGGCAACGGTTCCCCTGGAGGTTGCCGGGGCCTAGCGGGCAGGTACTGAGACGCTGGGTGTCCGGACTGTCCTTCACGGTTTCAAGTACAGCAGCTCTGCTTTCATTTATTTTTTTGGCCATAGAGTGTGTTTGAAGAAAGCATACCTATACTTCAAAATTCAAAAAACATTCTTTCAAACCATACACTTACCAAAATGTTCTCAGTTGGATGGGACATCGGATTCTAAGGACTCTTAACACTAATGCCCTCGAGGCCCAGTGGTCAAGTTCATGTGCTCTGTTTTGGCGGCCCAGGGTTTCACCAGTTCGAGTCCTGGGAGTGGACATGGCACTGCTCATCGGGTCATGCGGAGGCAGCATCCCACATGCCACAACTAGAAGGACCCACAACTAAAAATGCACAACTATGTACCGGGGGGCTTTGGGAGAAAAAGGAAAAAAAATAAAATCTTTCAAAAAAAAAAAAATCCCACTAATGCCCTTAACTGGAGCTATATCTAGCAGAGATTAAAGTTAGGTGAAGGGCCAATATAATTTTATATTTTTATTAGTAATCTGGATGAAAGAACTAAGATTATAATCTCATGTTTCTAATTTACGCTAATTTAGGTATGGTCACTACCAAATTTTAAAGCAACTTGATACGTTCTATGAAGAATCATTTAGAAACACAGTGAAGTTTAATAGGATCAGGATTTAGGACCAAGAGCAAACACAGCAAATCAAAATGGAGAAGGAATATACAGGTAACAACAGGGTAAAACAATAAAAATAAAAGGAAGCCATTTTCTATCCACAAATTATGGTGTTTAAGAGGAGAAAAAATAGGCTAAGAGCAGTTGGCTGTATTAATAGCCATAACACAAGAGCAGGTCTTTCACTTTTTTGACATTGGACAGGCCCTAATTAGTGCCTAATTTTGATTGTCTCATTGAGAGGTTTGTTGAAAAGTTAAATATGGACTAACAAAGAACACAAAATATTAAATTATTCCTATGAGGAAAAATTAAAATGAATTGAAGTATTCACCATGAAAAAGAGATGAATATAGGGAAAAATTACTGCCCTCTAAGGCTCTGAATAATTACAATAAATTGTTCTCCTACCCTACAGTGAACTCCTAGATATGAGGAATATATGGAAATAATGGCAAGATAATTAGATTTGCTATAAGTAAGCCATTTGATACTAAGGAAATTTTTAAATACTGAAGCATTCCAACGGGAAAGATTATAAGACTTTTTTCATCCCTAGACAGCTTTTGCAGGAAAAAACACACTCCCTATCGTGGTTCACCTATGCTGTCTCACTGGTTTGTGTTCTCAAATATCGACGCAGGGATTCTGGGAATGCAGGGGTTGCACTCTGGTAAGACTGTTTCCTGAGGTTCACGTGTCTTCTTCATACTTTCAGTGTTTCTTTCCTGGTTGTACCTATCCTCTCGGCTTTGGGTTATTACCAGTCTGCTAGTCCACACATCCACACGAGTAAGACATAAAAGCCTTTGTTAGAAGAAGAAATGTTTGATAAAGGTACTTTGCAGTTCAGATATAGTACTGGTATGGTGCCACAGTTCCCAGTCACATATGAACAAATACTTCCAGGCCGCTTGTAAGTAGATACCCTGAGGTTTCTCTCTTATATGTATAACTGGCTTGCTTTCAGGTTTTCCCAAGCTCTGAAGTGCTAGGTCCTATATCTTGACTCCTCTAGTCTTTCTCTTACAATTTCTTCCATAGGCATTCATCTGCCCTGCCAGGCTCCTTGACTTTTGTTGGCCTTTTTCCTTACAAGGTCCCCAGATGGCTCCACTTTTATGGACTGCTCAGTGTACCCTAACTATGGCAATCAGGCCTGTCCCTGTCAGACACTGTTGATGCTCCACCCATATATCTTCAGCACTTCTAGTCCCATCTTTATGGTTTTACTGACAGCTAAATCCAGAGGCTGTCAAACTGAACTCTAGTCTTACTTAACAACTTCACTCCCTAGTCCTACTGAATCTTCCTGCTGCAAGCACTGGCTGCTCTGCCCGAGGGATGCTTTTTTTGGTCACTTTGGTCACGAGAGCTTGATTGGCTCAGGCAGGAGGCTCTGGTTAACACCTCTGAGGAGAGGTAGCCTTTAAGAAGGATGAATGGGTGGATAGATTGGATTTTGTTTGCCTCAGGTGAGATAACTCTGAAGCGTGTTCTATAGTACCCCCCCAGTGCTCCCCAGTGGGATCAAGTCCCAGTTGCCTGCGATGACGCCTAATTACACCTTATTGGTTTCCTTCCCCTCCCTGCCTCACATTTTTTTGTCTCACTTTCTCCTAAATAGACTAATAATAACACAAATTCTTACCTCAGGGTCTGTTTCCAGGTGAACTCATCTTAAGATAAGGTATCTCCATATCTTTACATATGCATTTTCCAAAGAACGCCCATTGTTTTTTAAATAACTTAAAAAAAAATACTCCACATCAACATTTGAGTAAAAACAAATAATCCTGGTCTGTATATGGGGTGTGCCCACAACAAACAGCTCACTCACACCCTTGGGAAGATGACATATATTCCCCTCAACAGACAACTCCCAGACTGGGGCAGTTTAAGTGTTTGTTGTTCCTGGCAGCTCCAAGTGAGATTTCTTTTAGAACACGCTGTGATTCTAGGATCTAGCGTGAGAAGAGTGCGGCTATAGAGACACCTCATTTTAAACACATTTCCTACCAGTTTCAGTACAATGATGAGAACGATCCTTTCCTTTCTGTTCAAGGAAAGAAAGCAAATTAGTTCATGTATTTTTTTCACTCCTGATTGTTCTATGTGATACCTCAACGAATCCTGCACACGACAAATTCTATCATTTCTGCACACATGGCAGTTAAATGTGCTCATTTGCGTAAGCTACAACCAAATACATAAGGCAAAGTGTTGTCTGTAACAATAGATTTGACTTTGGGGATACATATGAATTTCCAAAGTTCTAGTGGATTTCAGCATTGACATTATGGCATAGAAATAAAACATTTCTTGCAATCATTCCAGGCATTCCAGATGGTAAAGAGGGTTGCAATAATTCAATGGAAGGTAAAGCAAACCTACCCGAATCATCATGACTGAACATCTAATATCATGAATTGTATCATAGATCTTCTTTGAGGTGTCCACAAACTGATTATCATCAAACACATCCAAAGAGTTTTTACTTAAGGCTTCCAAGGCGACATTCACTTGCGTCACAAACTCAGGAATCGCTGTTAAAATGAATAAGAAAGAGAAGATTATCCTATTTGTATTTTCAGATTTCTGGAGTTTCCAGGAAATGGAGAATCATACTTTTAAACAAATATTTGATTAATAGAATTTTAATTATTTCTTCGGATCTCTGAAAAGTAAAAGGAGTCAAAACAATAGAAATGTTTGAGAAGATTAGCTTTCTCCTTTATGTCATTTTTATTTCTACTAAGCCTGGGATCATATAATCATTTCTCATCCTATCCAATATAAGCCCCAAGAAATTCAGAAAATAATTGGTGTGAATAATAGTTGAACTTGTGAACATAAAGATATTTAAAGAAAGAAAGCATTTGAGTTTCCAAATACAATAAAATTCATTTAAAGGCAGTAATTCTAACTCATAGAAATAATAAAAATACTGTAAACTTTCTTTTGGTAAGATATTTTCCCTGTCATCAAAAAGATCAATGCAGGGGCTGGCCCCGTGGCTGAGCAGTTAAGTTCTCACGCTCCGCTGCAGGCGGCCCAGTGTTTCGTTGGTTCGAATCCTGGGCGCGGACATGGCACTGCTCATTAAACCACACTGAGGCAGCATCTCACATGCCACAACTAGAAGGACCCACAACGAAGAATATCCAACTACGTGCCAGGGGGCTTTGGGGAAAAAAGGAAAAAATAAAATCTTAAAAAAAAAAAAAGATCAATGCAAAGAAATAGGCAATCTCATATGCAAAATATTTCTTAAAAAATACAACATTGAATGAGTGTAGGGATGCATCTATTAGTAAGGACTAATATCCATAGATTTTCCTTTTTTAAATTAAGATTTCAAAATAGTCTCAGTCAAAAAGATTTCTCCAAGTTTACTTTTAAGATTAATGATAGTAACATTCTTTAACTCTTCAGTAGACTTAAGGCATTTTTTAAGCATCTGCTATGATTTAAATCCTAAAACAACACAAGTATTAATCTGGTGTTAATACTTAATTGAACAGTGGAGACACAGAGAAATCAAGAATCTTGCCCAGGATCATTCTGCTACTATATAGCAGAACAGAAATTTGAACTCTTTACTTCACAGTTATGCACCATATAATGACATTTTGGCCAACAGTGGACTGCATACATGAAGGTGGTCCAGTAAGATTATGATGGAGCTGAAAAATTCCTATTGCCTAGTGACTTCATAGCCATCATAAGGTCATAGTGAAATGCATTAGTCACGTGTTTGTGGTGATGCTGGTGTAAAAAAACCTACTGTGCTGTCAGTTGTATGAAAGTATAGCACATGCAATCATGTACAGAACATAACACTTGACAATAAATAATAATAATAAATGACTGTTACTGGCTTGTGTATTTACTATACTATACTTTTTATGTTATTTTAGAGTGTCTCTTTCTACTTATAAAAAACATTTTCTATAAAACAGTATGCTGTGTTAGGCTGGCAGCAGCCTCATACGTCTCGTGTTTACTGCATCTCTTGTTTGCATCATTTTCTCTTGTACTCAATTTAGGTGAACTCTATGATGTTTGCACCATGATGAAATCACCTTCAATGCTTTTCTCAAAATGTATCCCCTTTGGTAAGCGACACGTAACTGTACATATTATATTGAAGAAGCCCCATTTGAAGATGAAGGATAAAAGCAGATTAATTTTTAGAGTAATGATCTAAACCTAGAAGATAGACGTATTTCATCTATTACAAAAATATTGATAAATACTATTTTTTCTAATGCAAATCATTGTCTGCATGTATGACATACCATCTCCTGCAATTCTGCTTGCTATGTTCTTGATATGGGGAAACGGTGGTGGTACACACGGGCACTCACGTTTTATCCTCCATCCTAGTCCCCTCTGTCCTCCACCTACTAAAATGTATCATCTATATCCTACTCCTTAGCCACGATACCTGCCAAGATTATCCACTGTGCTCTTCTCTGTCCTTCTCTAGGCATACTGTCCAATAAAAAGTGGCACGTGGCCACAGGTGGCTATCAAAAATTAAATTTATTAAAATTAAATGAAATTTAAAATTCAGTTCCTCAATCACGCTTACCACATTTCAAGTGCTCAACAGACACATGTGGCTACTGACTATTACTTTGAGAGTGGAGATATGAAACATTTCTATTGGATAAGACTACCCCCGCTCTATAGTGAGATTCCATCAAATCGCTGCCTCACGTTCAGTGGATGGGATAACAAAGCCAAGGAGGAAGCTAACTCTCACCACTTTGCTAGGACAAGTAGTCCCAAACCACAAGGCCCATTTACATATATGGATGGGACTCCCAAAGTATGTGTCTAATCTAGATCTTTTTCCCTAAATTCCAGGACTATACATCCAACAGCCCATTGCAAAATTCTATCTGAATCTTTCATAACACCTCATATTTGTCCTATCTACACCTAAAGACATTCTTTTCTTCCAGGAAAACTTCATTTTCTTCTACGGTTTTCTATCTTGGTGCCCAGCCATCCATGAAAAAAACCCAGGTGTCTTCTTTGACCTCCCGCTCTCCTTTACCTTCTATGTCTAAATGTCCACCATGTGCAATCTCCTCTACCATATAAATATCTTTTAAATCCATTGCCAATTCTAGCCGTACTGCCTCTAGCCATCATTTTCTCCTGCTTGAGTGCTCACCATAGTCCTCTGGCCTAGGTTCTTCTCATCCATCAGATTCATTTTAAGTACAATCTTATTGATGAAACCCTACTCTTAGCCTTAAGTACAACAGTATCTGCTACAAAATAGATGGTCAATAAGTTGTTTTATGAATGAGCCATGTCACTACACTGTTTAAAAGTTTTCAATGGTTCCTGGAAACTTTTTTCTGTTTGTATCCCAAGTGCTTAGCTTGGCACATAGTAGATAAGCAATTGAATGAATTGAGTAATTGAATGAATGAGTATATATAAAAGCCCGACAAAAATTTAGGTACAACGCAATATGTTCAGCTTGCATTTCAATGTTTTGTTCACACTCAAGAAGCTCCAAAAATATGTTTAAGTGGACTTATAAGAACATTCAACATATCTAATGAGCTAATCTTTACTTTTTAAGATGAGGAGAGAGCTCTTAAGAAAATGTGTCCAGTTATTTCACATTTTCTTCAGGTTCTAGAGGTGAACAGCAAACTGTCCCATCAAAAGTGCAACTCCAAAGAACAGGCAAAATGGTTCTAGATTTTTTGACATCTTCTCCTAACTCTAAAGACATAGCTAAATACAAAGAGATATGGTCTCAAAATCTGTGTTGGTCTATTATTGACAAAACTTTATTCACATTCTTCCTCATTGAAAACAGATTTTTTTCTCATCTCCCAAAGTGCGCCCTACAATAACTAACTCTCTCCGTCAACACCTTCAATCTGTTACTACTGCCTGTGCCATAGTGAAACTGCCCCCGTCATCTTCCTGTGTAGATTCTGGCAAAAAGAAACAAATATAAAATCGTGCCAAAGTCTAGTTTTCGCCACCATGTGAGATAATGAGAGAAAGATTTAAGGAAGTTTAAGGAAAACACGACATAGATTTTTCATTATTGCAACATGATTTCATTTGAACTCCTCTAGGAGCCTTTTACTAATAAACTAATATTAACTCCAATTAAAATAAAATCTTTCAGAAGCAAATGTTTAATTTCTGAAGTACAGATGGAAACTACTACTTTTTCACTCTGGCAACACAAATGAACTAGTCAAAGCTGATATGTAATGCACTTTTCATGTCATTAGTTTAAACATCAGCTGTGGGTGTGCTTACTCATACTGTGGACATGTGGTCGCCTGGATCAGCCTAGGAGTGATTTTTTTTTAATGCTTTCAAGAAACTACAAAGTGAGTATATGCCAGTTAAGGGTAATTAAGAAAGAATAGCAAATTGACAAACCTGTCTTGAATCTGCAATCTACCTGTTTCAAGAAAACAAGGTTTACACATAATATACCACTATGTTATACAATTATTGATCAAAAAGGGAGATACCTTAAACAAATTCGCTCTAATCAATTGAAATGTCAGGTAGGATAAACTGTTCTGAACTTTGGAGCATAGATTTATTAAACAAAAGTGACCTCTGGGTCAACACATTGTCAGCTTCAAACTTAAAGCATCTTGTCTGTTTTCTACTGGCAAATTCTAAGCCAGTTCTGCTCTCTTTAGAGGTCTGAACTTTCTCTATCGACTTTATTCGGGATATACAGAATAATAGCTAATATTCTTTGAGTGCTTACTCGACTTGGCACTATGCTAAGCATTTTATACTCATTGTCTCATTTAATCCTCACAGCAGCCCTGAGAAGCAGGAGCTATTACTATCCTGACTTTACTGAGGAGGAAACTGAGGTCACACAGCTGATAAGTGGCACGCTGGTAAGGGACACTCCAGAGCCTGCTCTCTGAACCCACCCTGCCTCCTCTGGATAAGTAAAATCCTTGGGGCTTTGAAATTTCAGCTCTCCTGGGAGAATTAATGCTAATTTTCTGGCAATGAGGTTAACAAACCTACAGAGCTAACTTCAACTAGGCCTTGAGTCTCTGGCAGTAACTCAAGAATATTTCACCCCTTCTTAATCCTTGCCAAATTTATTCCGTGCATTTGAAAGTAGGTAAGGGTGCATAATTATTAGATTAAATAGGTCAGAAAAGAATTCAGACTCATTGCAGGTAATCATCCGAAATTATGTCACCAAGTTATGTTTTCTACCATTAATAAATCTCAAATTAAAATATTTCTAATTATAATACTATCTTGGAAAATTACAAATGGTAGAGGAATTTGGCTTTGAAAGTTCACATAAAGCTAAGTCATCATTTCTTTATGTTAGGCTAAGTAACTAGGAAGGAATTAATAATAGTGGAAAGTGCAAGCAAGCATATGCGTGACTTCTGTAAATGCCTCACACCCTTCATCTTTTTAATTTATTGAGCAAATATTGATTATCGTGGTTCAGATTTTTAAAAATATTTGGAAGCCAATATTATGTATCAAGAATGTGTTT